TCTTTTGCCATATAACATGACAGGGGACTGATTTTTTTATCAAATTGAGAAAAGTGAAGCAAACTATTTCAATGCATTCAACTTTTTAAGTTCTCAATGAGTGTTTACATTAATTAGAATAATATTAAGACTTATAGATCGATTTTTATAAATAAATTACATATAAAAATAGTTGCCAGGGGACTGACATTTTGAAGTGGCCCAGACACATATTTCCCGCACAAACGGTGCTTTGACACTAAATAAAATGCCGATAAAGCGCTAACAGCCCTATGGTTATTAACTTAAGGCTAGTTAGATCCTTATAAACCTTACAAAAAGATAAAATAACCCGCTAGACTTTTTTTTTTTTTTTGCTTTGAACTTCTGGCAGGGGACTGTTCTTAAAATGCCTGGGACAAACTTCGGTTGAATGAATTTTATGAAACAAATTAATTTTCGGTACTTTTTATTGAAGAAGATTGTTAGTTAACTAATTAAGTTAATAAACATTATGGACCAAATTATATATTATTGACGAATAACTTAAAATTTAATCTTAAAGTTTTAATTTGGGGAGTGGGACAGCCCAGGGGACTGTCATTTTGGTGGTTTACGAATTTATAGCAAAAAAACCAAAGTTTATTTCATTTCAATTTTCAATGCTCCAAATAGAAATGTTTTTTTTGCTTTCATAATAAATTTTTTTTAGTAACAAAATAACAATTTTTCTAATAAAACAATGCCTGGGACAGCAAAAAACATCCTTACAGAGAATCACCCTTATAATTTATTAGAGCTTCTGAAGATAGAATTTTTTAAATAAATTTTTTTTGTTACAATTTATTTGTTAAAATAATTCCAAACATTATTAGACGTCTCTTAATTTCAGTATCATATTTTATGATAATTAAATTAGCCGATATTTAAAAATTTTTAGAATTTATTTTATTGAAAAATTGAAAAAAAAAATTTCATTTTTCAAAATTTTAAAAACTAAGTGTAATTTTAAACAAATATTTTTTTTTTTTTAGTTTTAATTTAATAAATGAAGCAAAATCAAAAAATTAAAAATGTCGGCTAACTTTATTATTATTCATATTTTATAATATACTTTTCCAAAAATTAATAATTTTACAATGTCAACTGATATTAGCAGACACTTGAAAATTTTTTGATTCTTTTTGAAAAATAAATTAAGTTTAGAAATTAAAAAAAAAATTGCATTTATAATTTATTAGAGCTTCTGAAGATAGAATTTTTCAAATAAATTTTTTTTTTGCTACAATTTATTTGTTAAAAAAATTCCAAAAATTATCAGATGTCTCAATTTCAGTATCATATTTTATGAAAATTAAATTAGCCGATATCTAAAAATTTCTAGAATTTATTTCATTGAAAAAATGAAAAAAAAAAATTTCATTTTTCAAAATTTTAAAAACTATTTTTTTTTTAGTTTTAATTTAACAAATGAAGCTAAATAAAAAAATTAAAAATGTCGGCTCTTTATTATTATTCATATTTTATAATACACTTTTCCAAAAATTAATAACAAAAAAAAAATTTCAGAAAAATGTTAACCGGAATGCTCGCACCAACTTGCGGAGAGATTTATCTAAATGGAGATGAAGGAACCAAACCAGACATCGGAGTATGTCCTCAAGAGAACGTCTTGATCGACACGCTGACACCTCGAGAGCACATGACATTCTACGCTAAATTGAAAGGTTCAATGAACAACGAGGAGCTGTACAAGAATGTGAATGGGATGTTAGCGTCTTTGGAGCTGGGTAGACAAGAGCACGAACCGGTGTCAAGACTATCCGGTGGCACTAAACGACGTCTGTGTGTGGCTTTAGCGTTTTTGGGCTCGCCGAAGCTCGTTATTCTGGACGAGCCCGGAGCGGGTGTTGATCCAGCAGCACGTCGTCGAATCTGGCGTCTTATAGACCAACACCGCGTTAATAGAACGGTTCTATTGTCGACTCATCATCTCGACGAAGCCGATATGCTGAGTGACACTGTGGTGGTGATGCACCGTGGTAAAATTCTCTGCACGGGATCACCCCTCACACTAAAAACCACTTACGGGCAGGGCTACTGGATAAACGTCGCTTATCCGCCAGCAGAGATAATCAGGGAGATTGACAATAAGGCCGTCGAAAGTTTACGGTCTCTAGTGCTCGATGTGGTGCACAATGCAACGGTCAGTAATCCCAGCGGGTATGAACTCACCGTAAATCTTCCCTTCCTGGGCAAGCATGGAGCGGCTAATGACATCGCCAGGGTAATTAAAAGTCTCGAGGACAATCAAAAGAGCTTAGGCTTCTCACGTATCACCCTGGAGTGCGATACTCTGGAAAAAGTATTTTTAGATTTGTGTTTTCGTGGTGATAATGCAGCAGCCGGAGTCGGAGTCGATCCTGCTGGAGGGAATATTGGAGGTTCTGCTGTACGTGGTAGCAGCACCAGTGTCGCGAGCATTAGCAGTGTCGAGCTGAACATGATTGACGACACGGAATCTATTTTAACGAGATACCCGACTAACCCATCAGCTCTTCGTCAAATGAAAGCTCTGCTGAAAAAAAAACTGTGGCATTTTATACGTGACTGGCGAGCACCCCTGGCAACTTTAATTCTCCCCACGATTTTCGTCGCCGTCGCGATGGGATTTTCATTGATTCGACCGCCTTCTACTGACGAACCTTCATTGGATCTCAATCCACATCTTTATGACACTCATCCCACTTACTTCTACAGCATTGACAATGGCAGTGATCCGTTCCTTCAACGACTGTCTTTTCAACTTCACGATCGGTTCGGTGATGATTACGCTGGCGCTTGGCAGGCTCATCCTAATGTAAGTTATTGTTTTTTTTTTTTTTTTTTTTTTAACTTACCGCTAAAAAAATTGAAAATTTTCAAAAATTTCTTGAACCCAGAAAATTATTTTGAAGAGCTGCATTGTCTTGAATAAAGACAAATAATTTTTTTAATCAAGTAAAATATACTTAAATTAAGAAAAATTTCTTAGTTCAAAAATTTTTCTACTTAAATCAAGACCAATGAAACTCTTCAAAATAATTTTTTTGGTTCAAGAAGTTTGCTCCTGGATTAAGCTAATTTTTAACTTCCCGCTAAGAAAATTAAAAATTATCAAAAATCAGGAAGTTGTTGTCTTTACACCGTTTTTCGAAAATCGAGTTTTCATCAGATCTCGACGTTTTGAGGTCCTAGGAAGCTTCCCTGACTATTCCAGCGATGGTGTCTGAATGGATGTATGTATGTAAACCTCTCATAACTTTTGAACGGCTTGACCGATTTGATCGCGGCTGGCGCCATTTGAAAGGGTTCGACTAAACTTAGATTTTGAATACAAGTTGGACCGATAGATTTTGAGAAATCTTAAAAAAACTGCGAACAAAATTTTTTCAAATCTGGTTTTTTTTGAATAACTTTCAAACAGCTTTAACCGATCAATTCCAAAAACTAATCAGCTCTGAACATCGAAAAACCACTACGATCGCCACCAAGCCGGTCGAAATCGGTCAATTCGTTCGTGAATTATCGTTGACGAATGAAATCGAAAAAAGTGTTTTTTTCGAATTACACTGAAATTTCCGGTCTGATCAATTTGTGTTTGAAAATATATCACAGAATTTAAAAAACTGCGTCAAATGCCGCCAACCGCGTGAAAATCAGTTCATTCATTCAAATGTTATTGAAAATTCAAAAAATAGTGTTTTATGAATCTTCTATCAGACTTTCGAGCTCGGTATGCTCAAAATCACACGAAAATTATATTTTCGAGCTCGAAGAGCTCAAAAACATAATGAGTGCGATTTTGAGCGCTTAATTACGAAAGTAGCGGGAAGTTGCAGGGATGGCCTTCAGGGTCAACTGTTTTCCTAATTTTTTTTGTGAAAAATAGAGTAATAATTGATATTAAGTTTAATTAATTAAATTAAATTAAATTAACTACTTCACAAGAATTTTTTAATTAAAAGTTTCTTTTTTTTATTTTATTCAGGACACGGGTACTTGTGAGTGCTCTCCAGAAGGTCAACAAATTTGTCATGGAGTTTCTAAAGCTGTTGAAGGTCTCTTTCAGACGCTGCCAGGTCGTCCAACACTTGACTGGATAATTTCCACGTTCCGCGAGTACATTGAGAAGAGGTAAGTTTGAATAATCCATTAGAATTTAAAATTGTGTATAAATTTATAGCGAGTAAATGGAGTTGAGTTTCATTAATTATTTTTACGGTATTGTTTTCGTTGAAACAGCTAAATAATTGAAATAATAATAATTATTATTATTATTTTATAAAGTTGTAGAGAATCAAATGTAATTTTTTATGTTTTTATTTTATTTTTTAAAAATAATAATATTAAATTTAATTATAGATATGGAGGATGGTCGTTATCTCATTTGAAAGAGGATCCTCTGTTCGTGGTCTGGTACAACAATAAAGGGCACCACTCTCTTCCAGCCTACCTAAATGCTCTCAATGAAGCGATTCTTCGAGCTTCTGGCGTATCCGGACACTTGAAAACCTTCAACCACCCTCTAAAATTGTCAAGCGACCAATTGAACCGGACAACTTTGTAAGTATTGTTGTTTACAAACTAAGAATAATAATCTTTTATCTCTGAATAGTTGTTATATCCTAAAGTTGTTATCTAAGCACATATGTAGACAAAACAATGACTATAAATTGTATCGGTTATTACTTTAGGAAAACCAGTTAACAATCTTTAAACTATTTTTCACTTGGGAAACGTTAATGGGCGACAAGAGTCTCGTGGGTTACAACTATCATTGGATTCTCCTGACTATTCTTACTCACCTGATGGTGAGGTTCTCGAGAGGCTGTCGTCCATGACTCGTTAAACTTCTGTTTGCCTTCAGACTTGGCTAGGTCCGCGGGACTTGGTAATTGCTTTCCCAAGTTGAGCACGTTCTGCTCCTATCCGCTGTATCCTCATCCTCTAAGCCTTTACTTCCATTCCATACTTCTGTCTGCTGTCGGTTTAAATACGGTTTTCAGGGTATATACTGACGAGAAATAGCTGAGGAAGAATGAGTTCAAGAAAAATAACAACTTCCAACTTCCAACTTGCAACAGAATAAAAACTATTATTATATATACGTATTCTACTTAAACACAAAATAACTAAACTCTCTGCTCTCAAATACAAATTATACAGACGACAATAGTTTCTATTACTTTTTTTTCCTTTGAACAAAAAAAAAATATTTACAACATTTAAATTATATAAAAAAATATAATATTTTATTGCATTTTATAATTCTTAAGGTAGTTGTCATGGTACAATATTGTCAAAAAATTAGAGATTATACGTTCAGCAAAACTATATGAGCTTGTAGCTAAATAATCCATAATTTTAACGCAAGACTTATATATACTTTTTCATAAATTGTTGAACTTTAATCCGTTATTTATAAATAGTTAGACGGTCATAAATTTTTTTTTATTTTTTTTTAAACTCATAACAAATACATTAAAAGACTGTCAGTTTTTTGAAAGTTTCTGACAGTTAGTTTTTTTTTTATAACAAAAAAACTGATGCAGAACTGCAGAGAGCGTATGCAATCAATGTTAAATATCCAATTTTTAATTGAATTCATCTTGAGTTATAGGTGGTCAATTGACTTCAAATTTTTAAAGTAATTGTATCATCATGTCCTTAATAAGTATACAAAAATTTAGAATTTTCTGACGGTATGCCTTAACCACAACTCCCTTAAAAAATATTCAAAGTCATTATCGTAAAGACCATGAAATATAAAAAATCATTATCGTATTTAACGAGAAAATTGGCAAACTTAAGCTATTATTAATTTCAGACTGCAGCATGTGGCAGACGTAGGGGTGGCTCTTGTTCTACTCATCGCATTCAACTTGGTAGCAGCACAAGGCGCGCGAGAGCTTGTCCGTGAGAGATTGTCTGAGGAGAAGCGTATTTTGTATTTAGCCGGCGTGCATCCTGTAACTTATTGGACTACTGCCTTGATCTGGGATTTCTTGGTAAGCTTCCTCGAGATTTATTCAAGACTTAACTAATAAACTATAAGCAAATCCAAATATTCTGAACTCCAGAGTGACCATTTGCGGTCATCGATCTTTCACAAACTATAACTTATTCACGTCATCGGAGACGTGGAAATTAAAGTTACGATTGACAATAATCTACAGTATAACTACTATCAGCAGCTTATGGATTTCGTAATCATAACTATTAACATACAAGCAGGGACTAACCGCAGTCCTAACAGTTTCCCCATTTCCTGTGCCTGTCTATGTTCTACACAGCAATTCACACTGTCGTTAATTGCTAAGATCGATTAACACTCAGTGTCTCATCAGGCCGAGGGTTAAACTCGTGACTAAGTTGTGGAGTTGTGCCAAACTTTTATTAGTTACATGCATTTATATCTAACGTGACTAGACTATTTAATATATATATTACAGTAATAGTTTATAACGATAATGATAATGATTATTTCATAGCCGCAGCAGCCTGCCGATAATGATATAACAATTTAAATTATTTCAGATATTCCTGGTATCTATTGGACTTGCCGTAGGAGTTTTCGAAATATTTGGACTGCCTGCATACGTTGCTCGTGATAATCTTCCTGGTGTTTGTTTACTTCTTGTTCTTTTTGCGTAAGTTTTATTAATGACCACTAATCAATCATTATTATATAATAATTAATTATTTTAACATCAACATTTGAATTTCTTTGTAGGTGGGCATCAATTCCCTTTACTCATTTAATTGAAAAGACGTTCGACGACTCAAGTCTTTCAAACATGGTTCTTTTCTGTCTGAATACATTCATCGGTGTGATCTGTCTTGCAACGATACTTGTAATCGACATCCTGGGAAAGAGCCAAGCTGCTAAAGACACGAGACAAATGTTGCATAATATAATGCTTCTCTTTCCACAATACGCACTGGGAGACGCATTAGTTCAAATGTCAACCAATGACATTACTGCTGAGCTATTGGAAAGATTTAATATGGATACTTACAAGTCACCATTGGGATGGGATCTCATTGGTCCTCATTATGTATTTTTATTTTTAGTTGGTGTTTTTCTTTACATAGCTAATTTAGCCATTGAGTGCAGGATATTTCCTAGTTGGGAAAGAAAGAGGTAAAGTATTATTAAATTTTATTTTTATAGTTCTTATACACAGAAAGAAAAATTTCTTAACTGGAGAACAAAATTCTTGGCTCAAGAAAATTTTCGGGTGCCTGAAGGAAGACCGAAGTTGTGTTGGCCGAAGTAAAAATTTTTCTTGAAATTCTATTCTTGGTGGAAGTAAATTTTTCTTAATTCAAATTATCATAAATACTTGATACAATAAATTTTTATATTTGATCAAGATTTTTAGATACTTTAGGGAAGTAGCGCCACCTACTTCAGCTGAGAAAAAAAATTTTCTCACCTTCAGAAAATTTTTCTCTTGAAAATTTGACACCCATTTTATATTATTTTAGCGTGCAATTATACATATTGAATGAAAAAAAAATGATTTAATATTATTTTATCTTCCCATTTGACATGTTAATCAATAAAAATATTGATGAAAATTTATTTCTATCGAGATATTTAATTTTTTGGAGCAAGAGAGAAATTTTCTCAAGACAAGAAAATTTACTTCTATCAGGAACTAAATTTTTTGGAGCAAGATGCTGTATTTTCTCAAAACAACAAGATTTTTTTAACGTAAATAAATTTTCTTGAATCAAGATACGTATTTCTGAAAGCAAGAGAATTAATTTTGTTGGAATAAGTGAAATTTCTTGTCAAAAAAAAATTTTTTTTTCGCTCAAGAAAATAATTAGGAAGATAATATTTTCTTGGTTCAAGTAAACCTTTTTTTCTGTGTATAAATTTTAAAATTAAATTGATATTATTCAAAAAATCTTCACTAACTTATGAAATATTAAAATTATTAGTATGGATAAAATTATCATAATTATTATAAATATGTTATATAGAGGAAAGTTTTAAATAAATTATAAAATAGTTACTTAATCCTATTAATTATATCCGGTGCTGAAGCGTGATAATTTATTCCAGAGAATCTTACAAAGACGCTGGTGAAGATGAAGACGTAGTAAAAGAGCGAGTAAGGGTTGAAAACGGAGCGAGCACAGACGTACTAAAGACTATTAAGTTACGTAAAGAATACAGAAGTGTTTACGGGACCAATGTTGCTGTACAGAATTTAAGTATTGGAATCCAAACGGGTACTTGTTTTGGTCTGTTGGGTGTTAATGGAGCGGGAAAAAGTACGACGTTTAAGATGCTTACCACTGAATTGCTTCCGACAGCTGGAGAAATAGTATTAAAAAATAATAAACTAGATAGACGGCCTCTTTGTAACGGAGAAATCGGGTACTGCCCTCAAACAGATTCGCTTGACGGATTCTTAAGCCCCTATCAGTGTTTAACTATTCACGGGGAAGTTTGTGGACTAAGTAATGTACCAAAAGCCGTTGAGTCGATGCTAAACAGATTTGACCTGCTGAAGTATGCACATCAGAGGGTTTCTAGCCTCAGCGGCGGAAACAAGAGGAAGCTATGCGCAGCAATCAGTGTAATGGCCCCGGTTTCTGTAGTGCTGATGGACGAGCCCACCAGTGGTATGGATCCCGCCACCAAGGAGCTTGTGGCGAGAATTATTCGCCAGATCACAAGAGCTCAAGGCGCTGTTGTTATGACATCACACAGTGTTGCTGAATGTGAAAAACTTTGTAATCGAGTGGGAATTCTTGCTCGTGCAGGGCTAAGGTGCATTGGGACTGTTCAACATCTTAAACATAAGTATGTTTGATTAATAATTAATTTTATAATTTCGCGTGCCAAATGCCAACAGGGCATATAAAATTTATACGGCCTTTTGGCTTTGCAAAATCAAAAGGGCGTATGATTTTTTTTTTTGGTGCCAATCGTTTTGTAAACATGTTCTAAGCCTAAAAATGAAAAAAAATTTTCCAAAGCCAAAAGGGCGGTATGTTTCGAGTTATACGCCCTTTTGGCTTTAGAACACTGAAAATTTGGTTATCTTAATTCAAAAGGGCGTATAATTTTTAACTTCACGCTAAGAAAATTAAAAATTTTCTAAAATTGAAATTATATGGGTTTTACTCCGTTTTTTGAAAATAGAGTTTTCATCAGATCTATATTCAGCTATACTCAGCTCAAAAAATTTTTTAACGATTAGTTAATAATTTCTTACTTATAATAAAGTGTTTTTCATTCTATACATACATATTATGGATTTTAACTACAATTTTACGCAACGAAAAAGAAGGAAATTTATAAAAAATATGAAAATTTTAGTACGCGAAAAAATTTTTAATTCAAATGCTTGTTTAATCATTGTACTGTCAAAAATGATGAAAATTTAAATTTACTGCTATCGAAATTGTTGACTATTTCAAAATTTTGTTTACACAAATTTTTTCTGGACAATTTTGAAGACTGTTGTTCGAAATTATGAAAAATCCTGATTTTTTTATTCTCCTTTTTGGATTTAGACCGATAATTTCCTAAAGCCAAAAGGGCGTATATCTTAAGATACGCCTTTTTGGTGTTAGTACGTCAAAAATTTTTTTTCTACAGATCTTTCCGTTTCGAGCGATTCTAAAAAGAATGGCAAAAAAAATATTTTTTATACGCCCTTTTGGCATTTGGCACGCGATTTATCCTTTAGTTTATACTTAATTGATACTGGTGAAAATTGCGATCTTTAATTAAAACAAATTTAATTATCTTTAATAACTTTTTATTAAAATTCAGTATTGTTAATTTTATTCATAGAGAAATATTTTAATAGTATTAAACAAAATAAACCGTGGGTATTTTTACTTTGAATGTTGAAATCAGCTCAAAGTATTAATGAAATGAAATGAAATAAAATAAAATAAAAGGTAGATAGGAAAACGTTAGAATTTAAAATGGCTTATAAACGAAACGGGCTATTTTCCTAAAGCATGAAACGAAACGAAAACGATTGTGGTATAGGAAAGAATTCAATGGCACACGATTTCCCATATGCTATGACTATAAGGAAGAATAAGAAAAAAAAATATTATAAAATAAATGGAGGAAAGAGAGCAGAGAAAGAGAATTAAAGAAGGAAGGATAGTACTGCCAAACTCCACACGAACTCGATCCCCTTCGAAATGGGCTTTTAAAGCTTCTGTGCCTCAGTTAAGTGGTTGGTGGGACGAAGTACAAAGTATCGACCACCTTTTACTTATATATAATATACATATATATCTATGTATTTATCTATAGATATACAGGACTTATCTGTGCGGTATGGAGAGCGACCTTCTGTAAAACTTCTCTGGCTCGCCAGCCCAAACTATCGTTCTATTCTACTCGTGAACTTTAAATAGCCGTGAACCCGTCCAGAGACAACTTTATACATTTCACAGTAATTAATACTAAATATAAGTGCATGCAATAGTAATAAGTAATAATAATAACAACAATAATCATTATAATTATTATTATTATTATTATTATTATTATTATTATTATTATTATTGTTGTGAAAATAATTTTTTTTCCGACCAAGTATAGACTTTATCGTTAATTCCATTTTAATTATTAAACTTTGCTTCGGCATTACAGTTCTGCTTATATGCTTCAGTCTCTGTTTATATTTTATGAAAACATTTACGTTGATACGAATAATAAATGTTAGTAATGCAACTCATTTACCCGATGGTTGCCAGTAAAAAGCTCTACAAAGTAGTAGTGGTAAAACCGAGAAACGGCATAACAGTGAAGAAGAGAAAACAGCTTCTGGTAATGCCGGTACTGCCACTGGTCTCTACCGCCTTTCCGGTTATTTTCTCTAATTGAGATATATTACATGACTGAGATACAACGACCTTTTTTCTCTGTATCTTTATTTATTATTTGTTTTTCCGATTTTAGAAAATTTTAATTTTTAATATTTCCTCAGTCTTTAAGAGTTATTGTGTTTGTAAAATTATTTTTATTTATTTAATAATTTATTACACATAATAATAATATATTATAAAACTGTGCTTTCCACTCTAATGTCTATTGAAATAATTATCTAGTTAAAACCCATTTTTACCTTCACATAAATTAATTTCATGTGAATCGTTTAAATATTTAAATTAACGGTACTCGGTCTCGAGCGAATTTAAAAACTGTTATTTTAAAAGCCCGAGTTGAATTTTAAAATTAATAAAGTTTCTGTATTATTAATTGTCTCCTAATTTATAAACTATTTAATTAACAATATATATGTATAATATAATAATAATAATAATAATAATAATAATAAGAATAATTATATTTAATAAAGGTTCGGCGAAGGACACATTGCTTTTTTGCGCTTCACCCAGCCAGTAACGGTGAAAGAGCTGAAAGACGCGATATCTCGGCACTTGTACCGAGCCCAAGTGTCATCAAGACAAGCAACAGCAGCGCGACTGATGATCCCCAGGGTCCACGATGTCCCACTCAGCGAAACTTTCTCCCGAGTTAAAAGGCTTGCCGAGGAATTGAAAGCTACCGACTACACGCTCACCCAAAGTTCATTAGACCAGGTACGAAAAGTCTAAAAAAAATATTTAATTATTAATAATTCATTTTCACTCCCTTTACTCAGAGCTTAATTATTATTTAATAATTAATAATGTAACAATCCAGCGGAAATAATTCAATGTAAAATATATATGTGCCTTCAAGTACACGATACACGGGTATTTCATAATACAATGTATATATATTAGGGTGGCGCAAAAAAACCGACTATTTTTTTTTTTTTAGTCTCGAGTGAAAAATTGTTAGTTTTTGATGTTTTAAGAGCCCTCACCAAAGGACAGTTCAAAAAAAAATTTTTAAGAGGTCATTCCAAATTTTTCAAAATTTCAAAAATTGTCAAAAATCGAATTTTTTTTTTTTTTTTTAATTTTTTTTCTCGTTACGGTATAATTTTATAGACAAAAAATAAATAAGTTTCTGAAAGTTTCAGTTCAAAATTTAAATTTTGAAAGGTCGCTCATAGTTTTTTTTATTTTTCGTTAATTAGTCATATTGCCGACTTTAAGTGTTGGGAGTGGTCCGTTGGGGTCTTTTTGGTTTGAAAAAATCTTAACTTACATGGCAAGGTCAAATTTCAACCAAGCTGGTTTCTAAGACCAGCTTGGGATTCGAACTCGCGCCTGGCAGTTGATTGAATAAAATTATTAAATTAAAAAAAATTATATTTTCTATGTTGTGCTTGATTTTTAGTTTATCTCGTGATGTATTCTTATCGATTATAGTACTAAAATAAAGATAAAAAAAATGCATGGAATTTTAATTTGAATGTAAAAGGTCGTTCGAAAAAAATCTAAACTAATGCACTAATAAATTGAAAAAAATTATGAGCGACCTTTCAAAATTCGAATTTTGAACTGAAATTTTCAGAAACTTATTTTTTTTTAGTCTATTAGATTATACCGTAACGAGAAAAAAAATTAAAAAAAAAAATTTTTGATTTTTGACGATTTTTGAAATTTTGAAAAATTTGGAGTGACCTCTTAAAAATTTTTTTTGAGCTGTCCTTTGATGAGGGCTCTTAAGACATCAAAAACTAACATTTTTTCACTCGAGACTCAAAAAAAAAAAAAATAGTCGGTTTTTTTGCGCCACCCTAATATATATACTCTCGCGCTCTTGCTTTGCCCGGTACTGGAGATTCGTTTATCCTGGTGCCTGAAGGATATTAATGGGTACACGTATGGTGTACTAGTGGGATGAAAGCTGATGGAAAGCACATGCTAGTATCTTTCAGTAAAAGCAAGTAAATAAGTGAGTAAGTGCGCTTCTTCCTTCTATTCTGGCCTCTGTTATACTTTGGACATCGGAAACATTCCATACTTTTGTCTCTAATAGACTTTGCTAATGGTTTAAACCACATTTTCGTCCCTTTATGCTCTTCTTTAACTTCATATCCTTATTTTCATTTTTTTAGAGTGTATTTCTTCAAAAATAATGACGTGAGAGTTATTTTATTATGTGACACGGTAAAGAGGAATATGAAAGAGTTGAAATTTTTCTTTTAAATTATAATGAAATTTCTTTCAAACAATTAACTAAAATTTATAATTATAGTTGATACTGATTTTTTAGATAGATTTCATTGAAATCTATCTATTGCATTGGTCCTCATGTCAAAATTAAGTCGGAATTTTTCTATAATATTATCTAACTAGTCGAGTATTTAGCTGAAACTTTGCTATTCTATTCTACCCTTTGAAAGAGATTTTTGAGAATTTTTTAAAAATTTTTTATTCAACCCAAACAAAGTTATGAATTTTTATTTTATTTTATTTATTTTTTATTTATTTATTTATTTACTTCTGGTAAAGCAATTCTATAGAGGTGCAATAAGCACCTGTGCATAGACACCAGAAAAATATAATACATTTATAAAAAATTAATACATAATATTAAATTAACTAAGTAAATAGTGTACAGAGTAAATTAAGATTAATTTTACAAAATTTTTACCTATATACAATTTATCATGAATTAAAGTATAATTGATCTTATCCATCTTACAATATGTTTTCTTAACCATTTGGTATAATTTAGCTCTTTCAGATTATTAGGAAGTAAATTAAAATATTTAATTGCAACATAAATTGCACTTTTAGTACTTATTGTTCTATTGATTTTTGGTAAAGTTAACTGTCTAGCTCTTGTATTGATTACTCTATCAGAGTACAAAGTTTTACATTCACGAAAATAATAAGTTAAGGCTTGTACAACGAAAGATTGTTTAATCTTCAATGGTCCTAACATATCTTCAGAATTTGTCAATTTGCTTAACATTTTATTTTGTAGATTTATAATAGGTTTTAAAGTGTTATCATATGCACCCCCCCCCTCCATGCTATAATTCCTTAGTTTATGACACTTTCAAATAGACCATGATATATGATTTTTAGTAATGATGTGTTTATCAAATTACATAATTTGTAAAAGAGGAAGGTAAAGTATTTGAGTTTTTTCATTAGTTCTGCAATATGTTTGTTCCATTTCATGTTACAATCAAAAACTACTCCCAGATATTTACAACTTTCAACTCTTTTCAACTCTCTATCTTTAATGTACAAATGAAAATTTGTAGGCACACTGTCAGTGTAACAACCAAAGGTAATAAATGTCGATTTATCAACATTTAGCGTTAACTGATTGACTATTAACCATTGATCTAGCTTATTCAACCAATCAGACAAACAATCAGATACTACTAACCAATTAGATCCACTACACAGTACTACTGCTGTGTCATCAGCATATGATACAAGATCATCAGGAGGCAGAATATTAAAAATATCATTTATGTACATAATAAAGAGAAGTGGTCCCAAGATGGTACCTTGGGGAACACCAATTTTTACAATTCTATAATCACTAGTACAATTATTCAATTTAACACATTGCTCTCTACCTGATAGATAATTAACAATCAATTTATGAGGTAGACCTCTGATTCCTTTGCTCCACAATTTATCAAGCAAGATTTTATGATTAACTGTATCAAAAGCCTTTGCTAGATCTAGGAAAACCAGTACAGATGCACGATTTTTGTCTAAATTATCATATATAAAACTAGAGGTAAAGGCGAGAGCATCATCTGTACCTCTATTCTTCATAAAACCAAATTGTTTGTCTGATGTCAAGTTATTACCAATAGAAAATTCATACAATCTTACATAAATTATTTTTTCAAATATTTTAGCTAAATTAGATATTAGTGATATTGGCCTGTAATTAGTTGCTAGGTGTTTATTGCCAGATTTCTGAATAGGGATAATATCAGCTTTTTTAAGAGCATTAGGCCAGATTGCTCTACTAATACATAAATTAAAGATATACTCTAAAGGTAAACTAATATCTTTGGCAATACACTTAATTACTTTACTATGTATGTTATCAACTCCACCAGATTTCTCTTTCATTTCATTAATTATTTTTTCAATTTCAGTCTGATTTGTTGGTGATAAGAAAATACTATTACAGTTATGTTCTACAGTTTTTTCAATATTTATTTTCACCGGTTTACCAAGATTGCTCGCAAGTTTGTTTCCAACATTACTAAAGAAATCTATGAAATTATCTGCCATAGCTTTCTTATCAACAACAATTTCATCATTATCATTAATTAAGTAATCAATATCCCTAGTTACAGTGTTTTTCCCTAACTTAGAATTTACATAATTCCATAATTTTTTACTATCATTGTAATAATTTTTGACTTTTTTCGTTTCAAAATTACTTTTAGTTAATTTAATTGCTTTATTAAGAATTTTACAATAAGACGTACATTGCGTCTCAAGTTCCACACTATTTTTATTTAATCTCCAGATATTGTATAAATTTTCTTTAGTCTTACAGGAGTTCATTATCCCTTTAAAAAAAAATGGCTTTTTTATTTTCAAATAGCCATAACTTTATTAGACATTGACCTTTGGGTACCTTTTTTTTAAAAAAATTTTGTTTTTGAATGAACTTTTCGAAAAAATACACAAAAAAAAAATAAAATATGATCAATTCTATAAAATAATCGGTTTTTATGAGCAAAATCGTTATTTTTTCAAAGTTGGTCACTTTTTTTTTTATTTTTTTCACTCAAAAAAAACTTCAATCAATTTGACAACTATTCCCGCTCATCCCGGACAGGGCCGATTTTTTTTTTATATTTTTTTTAATTAATTGAAAAAAAAATTGTCAAATTTTCTGAAATAAAAAAAATTTTTTTTTTATTCAAAATAAATCACCTATTATAATTTGACGTTTATAACATTGACATTTTTAATTATTTTATGAAAGTTAAGAGTGCAATTGAACCATTTTCAGGTAATATGTAGTACAACCGACTTATGTATGTTATTTTATCAAAAATTTTCAACAGATCCTAATGAAATTCGGTACTCATTTTTCTCAGACAATTAGCTTGCATGAGCCCTAAAAAATAAGCGAAATCCTTCAATTAGTTCAGAAATAGTAGCTCTTCAAAAGTTTAAAAATGTATGTAAAAATATAACAAGTATCAAATATTATTAATTCATTCTGTGAAATCTACCTTTCAGGGTGTGGCCGAATGGCGTTTTTTTTTTTTTTTTTTTTAAGTATGATGGAGTCGAAAATTCAAGTATATAAATTTTTACAACAATTATTATATTACTGAAAGTTTGTAAATGACTAAGAAAAAAATATGAATTATATTTATTTAAAATAATTTTTATTGTAAATTGTCTTTTAACTGATAAAATACGTGACGATTAAATGACAAAAAAAAGACAAAAGGATAATAGATAATAGAATGGATAATGGACTCTTGACAGAATTTTATCCGGAGCTTTTTACTGTTTTCTTGAAATGAACTGAATCGCAAGTCAGGAGGTTTAACAATTGTACTGTCGTTCAAGTTCGTTTTAGCGAAATAAATAGACAACGACAAGTTAAGGGATCGATTGTTGGGAAATAGAAATAAAATAAACGAAAAAAGGTTAAGTATTGAGTTCTACCTGGGAGATGTGATTGGAACAAGAGACACGAACTCTTATCTTATCACAATTACTCTCTCCAACTTATCGCATTTTTTCCTTTTGTTTCTTCTTTTTTATTTATTTTTTAATCGTCTCGTATTCATTCGTAACGTCGTTCTAGTTTTCACCGTACTACTGCACTGCTATACTCTATAATATATAGCTATCGCTGTTGTTGCTCTTCTAGACTCTCGACAAAAGTATAAAGCACAATTTAAACAGTTACTAAGTTTACCCAGCGAACCAAGTAATGAGACTTTGCACGTGACATAAAATAATCCAAGTGTCTTTACAGATTTTTTTTTTCCTTCAATATTTTATAAATTGTTTTTTTTTCTTATTTTTTTCATATTTAAAATTCAGCATTCATTATAATTATTCTTATAAAATAAATTACTAAAGTAAATTTCTCAGACTGCACGGTGAAGGTATTGAATAAACTTTGACGAGAAAATTTTTATAGGATCGTCTTTTGCAGAAACGGAAGTTTGTATAAGTGAGTCAAAAAAACACGAGAATAAGAAGAAGAATAAGAATAAGAACCAGAACAAGAAGATAACTGGCGAAGGATCGTCAAACCCACGCTTTTAGAAGCCAAATTCTTTTAAATTTTCATGGCACTCAAACTTTACTCACTTCGTCAATTTTAATTTCTTTATTATTAGGATAATTCTTATTATTATCATTATTTTATAGCTGAATAACAAAAGTTTTAAGTAGACTGAGAAAAAAGAAATTTTTTGTCCAGAAAAAAATTTCTTGGCTCAAGAATCGTTTAAAATGAATTTTGACTTTTTGACAAAAGAATATCAATATCTATCATGATAATAAAATGTTAGCATTAATTTTGATAGATTAACAAATGAATAGGTTCACTTGAATTAAACAAAAAATATTTCGATTCTTGAGACAAGAAAATTTTTTAAAGCGTAGTACTTTTTTTTCTCAGTGTACAAAAAAAAATTTTTTTTTATTTTTTTCTAGGTGCTGGTGAATTTCTCTGAAGAAGCCGAAGACGATTCATCAGACCCGCGGTACAGATCTCTTGTCAATACGTATCCGAGTATGGACACCATCCACATGGATACATTCCAATAGATAATTTAATATAGTTATTTAAGAAATAATTAAAAATCAAGCGGAGCAAAATTAAAATTTTATTATTATTTTTAAGTTTTTTTTACAAGGAAGTTATTATAAAGTGAACCTATTTTTTATTATGAACGGTTATATTAAAAATTTTGTGTATAAATTCTCGTAATTTTTTAAAGTCGGTATGAGAAAATGTTGTTTACACGAAGTTTATAATTAAAAAAAAAAAAATTATAAATATTTTTATATTATATTTATGTATAAGGTCTTACTATTAGTGATTAAAGTTTACCTGTAAGGTTTTGTGCGAAAAATTCGCGTGGATGTAAAAAAAATGTGTGTAAAAATATAAAATTGATAAATATATAAGTATAAAATGATGTATTGAAAAATGTTTTATATATTGAATTGTAAGTATTAGATTGTGGTGGTGAGAAGATTAGAGTTGAGCAATAAATACTTAGAAATACTTGTCTATCGAGACGTTGTATGACGTAATGTGTGAGTCAAAAAATAGATTTCATATATAAGTGGAACAAGAAAGTTTGTGAAATATATACATATATAATATCGCGACGTAATACGTTGAGATTTTCATGGACGTCTACGCTTCACGTCATATATTATATAGGTATGTAAGTATACACAGATATATTTGTATTTGTATGTAAGTTAAAAATAAATTTTGAGCGCACAGTTTGACGAAGTGGGCTTATATTTTTACTATTTAAATGTATGAATTTACTCATCGTGAGTCAAAGCCTGTACGACCGGAAGGAATGCTCTAATAATGTGCAATTATTTTTAAAAATATCACTTGATTTTGAAAGACGCTAAAGAGATGAATCAATGAATTTTTAATTACAAAAATAGTGCTTATTTATATATTTATAAATAAGCACTTGATTTGGCTGTGATTTTTTATGTTATCAAAAAGATATTGAGGACCGAAATAAATACTTGCTCCCAATAATCTAAAAGTAATGTAGGCAATAATAATAAATCGAGATTTTCCATGGGTTTTCTGCCAAGAAATATATTTTAGATTAAAAGTTGCTGAAGGCCAGATACATTAATTATATTTTAAAGCTTAAATCACTTTATGATTTTGCTGTCCACTTATTATTTTTCTCACTTTTTATCTGGTAATTTCTAAGCAAGAGCCTTTCTATTCTACAATTTAAGTTTTTCTATTATCTTTAGGATTTCAAACGAAGTTTGCTTTTAAAAAAAATTAATTAAATTTGGTGAAAATAACTAAAAATTAATTATTCAAAGGGTAAATTTGTACAGAGTAATGAAACTAAAGCTTTTATAAAGGAGTAAAATAGACCTCAGAGACTCAAAGTCTTTTTCATTTCTTTGACAAAACAACATTGCAATTTTTTTAAGCGAAAAATTCACTTTTAAAATATGTTTCACTGTTATTAAAAAATTTTTTTCTTTAAATCGCTTAAATTTAATATTTTCTTACTTTTTAGTCTGTCTTTATCTTACTAATTCCCAAATTTAATCAAGATGGCACAGTTTATAAAAATAAACATCAGAGTTAAGCTCTGTAAGTAAATAACCAAAAAAGTAGAGCCAATTACAAGGAAATTTTTCATCTAGGCATTTAACCCCAGAGTATGCTCAGTAAAAGTGTTCAAGTAAAATATAAAAGATTTTCTCTTACAAATGTACCAAGAAATCCTTCTCCATATCTATCTTTTTTATTATTATTTTTTATTATTATTTCAGCAAATTGTTTTTGTTCTTCTCATTGCAGTTGATCCTACTACGTAGAGTAATCTACGAGATCCTTTTCTTCAACCTCCATCATCCCAATGGGAGAATAGTTTCTGGGACACGACGCTCGTGGTTATCACTCCGAGACTTTATCACACCTCGTGGGCTCAATATCTTTTCTCTTTCATTTTTATTCCTTTCTTAGCTGTAAGTAATCCGGAATTGTTGAAAAAGTTTTTTACTCTTTTCTTAAAATCCACCCTCTAGTTCCCGTTTTCTTTCCAGTGGTAGTTGCTTCACCTCCCTTTCATTTCTCGTCATCACTTCTTTCTCTTCTACTCTTATTACATGTTTTTTTTTTTTCAATTTATTTTTTCTTCAAAATTTTATCGCAAATACCCTGACTTTCTATTTACACATTTTTTTTAAAACTTTTCATGCTCATTTCAGAATATTTTTACTCGTAAAAACATTTTCTACCTTTTCTTCTCTACTTTACTTCATTTTTTTTATTTATTTCTTACATTTTAGCGTTTAAAATTTTTAATATTTTTCTTGCATTACTTAGATGTTGTGTCAAGAATGTTTTTATATTTCATGGAATCCAAATATTAAAAATGTTTCTTTAAATTTATCATTTATTTTAAAAATACTGCTGTAAAACTTAAAAAAAAAAAAATAATAACTTGTACTTAATCTTTAATGTTTTTTAAACACGCAGTTAATAAAATAATAATTGTTAGTTATTGTCAGTCGCATTTTACCGTAATAGTTTTATTGATCCGGATAATTTGATAACACGAAGGCAATTACTGAAATTTATATCGATAAGAGGGAGCGTTTAAGTATGACGTAAGCAGACTAAAGGATGAGAATTAAAATTTTTTATTTTTTCCACCAAAAATTTTAATTTTGACACTTAAAAAAACAAAAAAATTATTCTACTCTTTATTTTACAAAAAAATAAAAAATCAATGAAGGTCAGCTTATATAATTATTGATACTTAAACCCTGACTATAAAATTGATAACAAAGTTAAGCTTAAAGGCACACCTAAATCGTTTACTTTTAAGTCTATTTTCTTGCAGGAATCATCGACTAAAGTCTACTTATTAAAGAAAGTAGAGGAAGATTCCTGCGATAATTGCGAGTGAATAATAATATTAGAGTAAAGTCGACGGTAAATGATTAAAGAGGTTCGACGAAAAAAATCCGTCACCGTACCTCTAGTGGAAAAAAAAAAAAAAAAAAAAACCTTATATAATATATATATATATATATATATAAATAAG